CTCTGGCCATTCCCAGCCATCCATCACCACCGACCCAGCTCCCAGTCCAGGGGAAATTCCCATTCCAGGGCAGCTCCATTTCCTGGCTCCTGCTCACCCTCTCATTCCCTCCAGTGCTCTGTCAGTCCTGCTCCACCTCCTCACTCATCCTTTGGGGCCGATTCCCACTCTAATCCTCATTAATGAACACCAGTTACTTGGGGAGCCTGGATAAATTATTCCACTCTGCCTGCACGTATTGAGGCAGTAACCCTGGAAGGGCAGTTCCAGGTGCTGGCATTACCCCCCAGTGTCCAGGGAAGGGTCACGGATTTCCCACATTTGTCCCAAGGGGGTTGAAGCACCTTCAAGACTCCCTGGGATGGTTTAAATCTCCCTATACCCAGCCCCGAGCTTCAGCCCCCCCAAAAAACCCCACACAGTGACACATCTCGAGTGGGAGATCCTGGGATTGCTCCACATCCAACCACACCAGGATTCAGGGCATGCCAGGCTGTGAGTCCACAGGGAATGGCAGAGACAGGACACAGCAGTTCAGGACCCTTCATCCCCTTCTCCACTTTATCCCCACCTTCCTTTGTCCCTGTCCCTTTCCAGAAGGATTTCTGTGCAGCCAGGAAGGCTGAAAAGCCTTGGTTTGGGGACCAGCCCATCCCAAATTGAACCAACACCTGCCCAAGGAGGAGCCCCGAGAACATCAGGAAGGGCAGGAGCCGCCTGAGTCAGCTCAGCCTCTCCCCCAGGCAGGGAGGGCAGCAGGGGCAGGAACGAGGGGCAGGTGCTGAGCCCAGAGCCTACAGAAATGCCCAGGAGCAGCACCACTGAAGGGCACTGAAATCAGGGTCCCCCAGAGTGTCCCCCCCTCCACAGGACTGCCCTCTGCTCGTCAGGGCCAGCAGGAGCTTTGGCCTTGAAAGGAGAGGCCAAATCCTCTTCCCACACATGCCATGTCAGCTGCAAATGAAACCCATCCTGCTGGAAGGACACTTGGAAAAGCCTCATCCATCTTGGAGCAGAGTGGCTCCAGTGATCCCAGTGAAAAATGGTTCCACACTGCTTTTCATCAGTTTTCATCCTGAACCAGCATCCTTCTGCACCTTTCTGTGGCAGAGGCATTTGGGCCCATCTCCAGCATCTAATCATGGAATAGTTTAGATAGGAAGGGACCTCAAATCTCATCCCATTCCATCCCCTTCCACTAGCTCATGTTGCTCCAAGCCCTATCCTTGGACACTTCCAGGGATGGGGAGGATGTGGGACACAGAACACAATGCTGTGCAGGAACTGGGAATCAAAAGGCTTCAAGATCCATTTGGATCCGATTACCTGGAGAGGTTTCCTGGGCCATTGTGCACTTGGAGATGTTTTTGAGCCAAACTTCTTGTTCCCACGGGCTGGACCTAGGTTTGGAAACTTCATTTCATGGAAGAAAAAGGATGAGGGAAAGAATTGACCCTTAGAGGAGCAAGGAGCAGGGATTGATGCTCAGACAGGTGGGATGACCTGGGATCATAGAACATCCCACCAGGATCAGAGCAGGCACTGTTCCAGCCTCTACTGCACCGAAGTGGCCTCATTCCACCTGCACCTGCTTCCCTCAGAGGGATCCAGCCTTCCCAGGGCTGTCCCCAGTGCCCTCAGCACCCCCAGCAGCCCCAAAGCCAAGGGTCACCCCTGACCTGAGCCCACGAGGAAGGAATAATGTCACCCATGGAGCAGCAGCCACGAGCTGTGGCTGCTCCCAGCCAGAAATTTGGGCTTAATCACTAAAATAAACCATCAGAATTACCCTGAGAAGTCCTGCCAAGGATCCACTGAGTGAGTGACCGGGTGTTCAAATGCATTTTCTCTGAAAGGATATTTTGGGAAGGTGGACACCCCTTTCCTGGCAATATATTGCAATTCCACCTGAAGGAAAGGTCAACCCCACAGGAACAGGTCCCCTTCCCTGGGAAGTCCTTCCCAAACTACAGCTGCTGCTCAGCAGACATTTCTTGTCAGAGCACGTCTGTGACAGATCCAACCTCACCTTGCCTCAGCTGCCCTGGCAGGGAAATTCCAGTATAGAGCAGAACCAGAGCAGCACAGTAGCAGCTTTCCCACAAAATGGAAATTGGGGAGGCCAGAGGAGACCATCACCCTCCCCAAGGATGCCCCAAATCAAGGCACAGATGGGAGCTCTCCTTTCCCAAGCTTCACAGGAGAAATGGAGCTAAAGCAGGAAACCACGTCCAGGGTGGGTTTGTACCAAACAGGGATTTGAGAGTGGGACACCAGAACTTATTGAAATTCAGAGGGGTTTTGGTATCTCCAGGTTTAAAGGGCTTTTGGGGAATGGAAATGAGGCAGTGAAAGATCCCTGAGATCCACCTAAGGCTCCAGAGATTTGGAGGGTCTCTGGTGCTGCCAGAGCGGATGAATGAAGAACCTCAGCACTCTTGGACCCCACTCCCAGGGGTCTCAAAACCAGGCTCATCCTCCCTAAACCAGACTTATCTTCCCTAAAGCCAGACCTACCATTTCTAAAAACAGATTTATCCTCCCTGAAACCAGACCTGCCATCCATAAACTAGACTAACATCCCTAAACCCAGACCTATCCTCTCTAAAACAGCCGAGCACCAGACCCTTCCATGCTGTGCCCATGTGGACACAGGGAAGGAGCAGCTCCAGCCACACCAAGCTTGGGATGCATTTCCCAACTCCTTCTTTAGCCAATTCAGACTATTTATGGTTTTAAACACGCCTGAATGAAATAAAATAACATTTAAAAAAAATTAAAAAAAAAAAAAAAAAAAAGAAGAAAGAAAGTATCACTGTTTCTTCCTGCAAATTTGGGCTGGAAAGCAGCCAGGGGCTGATGCTGGCTCCGTGTGCCAAGTGCCTGTGCAGAGCTGTGCCTGGAGCACTCCTTCCCAAGCCCAGCACCTCCAATTCCTTTCCTCACCTTTTAAGGATGAGGGAAGCAGCTGCTGGGACCTGGAATTACCTGGGAGGATTTGGTTTTGTTGCGAGGGCCTGAGTCCTCCTCACACAAACAAGCTCCTGAAGAAAGGAGAGGACAGAGGAGGGAAGAAGAAGAAGAAAAAAAAAAAAAAGAAAAAAAAAAGAGAAGAAAAAAAAAGCCAACAGGTTGATCTGGATTTCCATCAAGGGTTCCACCCTCCTCCGTTTAATGAACATCGCAGAACAGGTGCTTGGAATTCATTACCAGCGCACGAGCCCAGCCAGGGGGATCGCTCCGGCGGCAGCGCGGCCGAACCTGGGGCGCTGCTCCCGCAGCCGGGCATGACCAACCCCAGCTCTGCCTTCTCCAGCGGCTCCCTGTGCTCCGGGGAGGCGGCGGCCAGCATGAGCCCGTCCCCGGAGCGCCGCAGCCCCGACGGGGGGGCCAGCGACGGCCACGGCTCGGTGGCCAGCGAGGGCTGCGGCTCCCTGGGCAGCCTGCGCTGCTCGCCCTACTCGCCCTTCTCCATGGACGGGAGGGTCCCGGCTCCCGTGCGCCTGGACATCGACACCGAGTTCCAGGCTGTGCGGCAGCAGGAGAAGGAGGACATCAAAGTGCTCAACAACCAGTTCGTGACCCTGATCGAGAAGGTAGGGACGGCTCCGGGGGTGGGGAGGGGGCACCGGCACTGCCCGGGCTCTGGGGACCCGCCGGGATGCGGCCACCGCCGGCCAGGCTGGCAACAGCCACCTAATTAATTACCCAATTAGTTATTCCTTCCGAGCGCTGGCTAACGAGGTTAGGGAGCATCCCGGGGGCTGTGCCTGTCACCCCGGGGAGCTCCTGGGGACCCCCAGAGCAGCCCTGGCAGAGCCCAGGAGACAGCGAGGATGGGAGGGAGGCCTTGGCTCTGGGGTGGCCAAACAGCCACGGGCAGCGACGCCGATGATGGCGGCAGCTCCAACTCCGACTGCTAAAGAGAGCTGGAAACTCATCCTGGAAACTCATCTCCACCTCCACCCCGGCAGCGTGGAGGGCCGGGGGACCCCCCACCCACTGCTCCTGGGGAGAGGGGCCAAGAAAGAGCTGCTTTCATCTCTGCAGAGCCAGGAGAAGCAGAAGTTTCTCCAAGGAAAACAAGTCCCAGAGCAGGCAGGTTCCTGCAGAGCCCTGCTCCGTAAACAGATGTAATCTCCGGGATTGCTTCATGCAGCTCTCCCTGCCAGCCTCCAGCAGCCCGGCATTGATTCATTTTAACTCTCCGAGGACCTGAATTCACACTGGGAAAGAAAGGCCACGGGAACGTCTGCAGTGATCTCAGCAAGGGGACAGTTGTGAGCAGTCACAGCTGGCAGGGCCCTGGCTCTCACCGATGGGCACGGCCTCCTCCTGTGAGCCCTTCCGAGATCACGGCAGGGGGAATTTGGAGAACACCTGGTGTGGGAAACACCCACGTGGTGGAGACTGGAATTGGGACTGTCCAGGTGGAGGGGTCGGGGTTTGCTGGGCCCTCAGAGCAGGGATGGAGTGGGGGAAAGGGGCAAAGCTCCGAGGGCCGGAGCCAGGCCTGTTCCCTGACACAGTGAGGGAAGAAGTTCCAGACTTCCCAACAAACCCAACCCAGTGACCCCCTGATCCGTGTGGATCCTGGGCCAGGGACACAAACACCCCCTGGGCCGAGGTCTCTGACTGCAGCTCCTGAGCTCCTTTGAAGCCTTCAAGAGCTGCGTCAAGTGGCAGCTTCAGGCACCTGCCCCGGGCCCTCATTCCAGAGGAAGGGAAGGACACTTCCTTGTCAGAGAAAACTTGGCTTTATAATCAGGGATTCAGATGTTCTCGATCCCCAGCAGGTGATTCCAGGGATAATTGACCACACAGTTTGGAGTTTGGTGCTGGTGGTTTTCCAGCTGTTCCAGATATGCTGGCATTTATTTTCCAGACTGATGGAAAAGAAGACGGGGAAAAGCCAAGCTCAGGAGCCCCTGTGTAAGGCCCTGCCTTTATCCCAAGCAGCCCAGAGAGGAGGGCCTGTGAGGACCAAACTTTGGCCACTTCTGTGCTCAGGCATGAAATTCCAGGGAATGAGGCCAGATCTGGGTGATCCCTCTGCAAATCTCCTGCTAAAAGGCTCTGCAAGGGAGGATTTCCACTGAGGGGGGACATTGCAGGAGTCAGGGAATCATGGAATGGTTTGGGTCAGGAGGGACCTTAAAGATCATCCAGTTCCAAGCAGATGTTGGAAGCCAAGATGGAATCAGTTGAGCCCAGTGATGGTTTGTGAACAGGAATGTGAGGGATAAAAGGAGCAGCTGAGATTAGGAAGGAGGTCAGGAATTATTAAAGGTAAAAGATGGACTTGGAACAAGAGCCAAGACAGTCTGTTCTCATCCCAGGAGGGAAGGATGAGACCAGAGTGAGACCTGGAACATCCCAGCACTCCCATCCCTTCTGCTGGAAACTCCCAAGCACTGGGATGGTTTTGCTTTGCTTGGCTGCTCTCTCTGTGCAGACAAGAAAGGTTTGGAGAAAGATGGTGCCACATCTGGGTCAGCAGCTGGAATTCTGCCTCTCCTTTGGACCCCAGGCCGAGGCTGGAAGTCTGATGGCTCCCAGTGCCCCCAGCACGGCATCGGCCCTGAGTCATCCCGGGATGCAACACAGGAAACTTGGAGGCAACTCCGGCATCTCCAGCCAAAACGTGACTGGGGTTGCTCCCAGAGGTAGCAATTAGCCAATTAATTGGAGTTGGCCAAGAGCTTTGAAGATGAGAACTGTTAAACTTGGAGCGTTACTGGTGAGATTGGGAATATTGGGAAAGAGGAGCAGGTTCCTCAAAGGCGGGTGGTGGAAGGGCAGCGTTGTCGCCTCAGCCAGCACAGGGAGCTCACCTGGAGTCTGTAATTACCCGGGATGATCTCCAGAGCTTTGTCTGAGCTGCTCTGCAATAATCGTGATTCACTCCCTGAACCTCTCCATGCTGTCATTCCTTGCAGTGCAGAGGGTTCCCTCTCTTTGTGCTCTCTGGGATAGGAAATCTGCCCTTTGCTGACCCTGCACATCCCTAAATGACCTGGGGTGAATCTGCAGCCTTGGCTTCACCGTGTTGGACTCAGCACTTGGATCTGCTGATCCTGGAGGTGTTTCCAGCAGTCCATGGTCACATGTAAAAGGGACAGACCTGACCAGTCCTATTGTCAGTGACTCCTTTATTCCAATGTCACTGTGTTTATTTTGATGTCACTGTGTTCATTTTGATGTCACTGTGTTCTGTTGAGAAATGAATTAGTGGGTAGCATATAAAACCCCTAAAACAAGGAGATGTCCCTGCCCACGCCTGCAGTTGGATCTGGGTGATCTTTAAGGTTCCTTCCAACCCAAACCATTCCATGATTCCATAACCTTCCATTCTCAGTGTGAGACATATACTGAGAAAGTAAGAAAATTACAGCCTGAAAAATATTCCAGGCTGGAGCTTCTCAGCTCTGTTCCCAGCCCATGAGCTGGTCCAGCTCAAGGCTAGGGAGAATTTCTCCCAGGGTGGTAATTTGGTCAAAATAAAAAGGAATTAATAACAAGATAGAACACCTGTTGTGGTGTGTGACCAGGCCCTGGCAATGGGGTGTCTTCTCTCTGAACCAATCACCTTTTCTCTACTCTTGGAATTGCGAGTCATGCTATAAAACCAAGTGTGTTTCTGAATAAACTTGTCTCTTTCTTCCTGTCATGAAAGATGACCATGTAGCTGTGCATATTATTTCTGCCTCACTTAAAGGGTTAAAACCCCTTTCCACGGCTACACCTCAGGCCTAATTTTGTTGGGATTTCTCATTCTTCCCTGGAAATCTGCTGATTCCAGCAGCTCCTCTGAAAGTCTCCAACATCTCCTGCCCTACCTTGCTTTGGCTGTGGCTCCCGGTGTCACTGACACCTCTCAAACCTCTCCTGTAGGTCCAGAGCTTGGAGCAGCAGAACAAGATCCTGACGACCAGGTGGAACTTCCTGAAGGACCAGGACAATTCCCACTCTGACTCGGACATCAAGGCCATCTACGAGCAGTACATGAGCAAAATGAACCAGGAGATGAAGGCGCTCAACTACGAGCAGGAAAACCTGGAGTCGGAGCTGGCGAAGGTGCTGAGCACCATGGACACCTTCAGGAGCAAGTAGGTGTCCTGTCCGTCCCCCGTCCGTGTCCGTCCGTCCCCCGTCCGTGTCTGTCCGTCCTGTCCATCCCTGTCCATACCCAGGGGGGTTCAGCTGAGGCAGTTCAGCACAGGGAGCAGTGTGAGGTTGATTTAACTCAGCCAGCCTGAGATTTCCTGGGGAAATACTCCTAGTTTGGTGTGCATAGATGTATGGATTTGAGAATTTAGGATCACAACCTCTTCCTGGTTAAAGAGGGGTAAAAGGAAAGCTGTAACAATGGAATTCCAAGGAGAGCGGGGTCTGAGAGGAGCCTCTGCCAGAGAAGAACTCAGTGGATGGCATTGCTGGAGTGACAGCCATGAAAACAGGCAATGTTTATTCTCCACACTATTATCACAAACCAGAACTCTGTCCCCACAGTGGTTTCTGTACAAAAAAACAACAAAAGTACAAAAAACAACGCTCCCAGCAATGTGGTGGGAATTTTGGGGTGTTCTGGGCAAGGTTAGGAGTTGGGTTTGATGATCCCTGTGGGTGTCTTCCAGCCCAGGATGGGTTAGGAGGGACCTTTAGGATCATTCAGTGCCACCCTTGCCATGGGTAGGGACAGCTTCCACACAAAGCCCTGTCCAGCCTTGGACACTTCCAGGGATGGAGCAGCCACAGGGAAATCAATTCCAGGGCCTCCCCACCCTCACAGCCAGGAATTCCTTCCCAATACCCCACCCATCCTTGCCCTGCCCAGTGGGAAACCGTTCCCTGTGTCCTGTCCCTCCATCCCTTGTCCCAAGTTCCTCTCCAGCTCCCCTGGAGTCCCTTTAGGCCCTGGAAGGAGATCCAAGTTCTTCCTGGAGCTTTTTCCTTCCCAGGCTCACACACACCCATCCCACTCGTGCCATGGCAGGGACACCTCCCACTGTCCCAGGTGCTCCAAGCCCCATCCAGCCTGGCCCTGGACACCTCCAGGGATGGGGCAGCCACAGGGAAATCCATTCCAGGCCCTCACCACCTTCCCAGGGAGGAATTCCTTTGTAAAGAAGAAATTTTTTATTCCATGACTGTGGGATCTCTTCCTTTCCCCTTCATCCAAAGCATTTCTGCCAAATTCTGCTTTTACCAAAAGGTCAAAATTGTGCCCCAAATGGTCCTGACCAAGAACAGGGAGGCAGCCAAAGGTCGGGGGAGGTGCAGCTGTCTCTTATCTCTGGGGAGCTCCTCTTATCTCTGGAGAGCTCCGGGATGTGCAGATAAGAGAGAGCAGCTGGGCCATGCCCGGTCAGGGAGCAGACAAAGCTTCCCTCATTATGGGGCTCATTTGCATCCCACAGGAGAATCCCAAATGAGCTCCTTTCCCTCCCAGTGACACCCAGCACCTTCCCAGAGCTCTGGAGGCTCCCGTGGGGATTTGGAGTGCCCAGCCCAAAGTGGGGCAGAAATCCCTGCTGGGATCCAAACCCCCTCCAGAGCTGAGGCACAAACGGCCCGTGCCCTGTCCAGGGAGTTCAGCCCAAGGATTCTCCAGCTCCTTAAGCCCTGCTCGAGGTGGCTGCAGATCAGGGAAGGGCTGAGGGCTCCTTCTAAGGGAGACCCATCAGGGAAATGCCTTCATCAGCTCAGAGCAGGTGGGAATCCTGCAATCATTGGGCTTGGGAAAGCCCTTGGAGATCATCAGGTCCAACCATCAGCCCTCCACCACTGTGGTCACTACTGACCCCAAGGGTCACATCCACACACTTTTGGGCACTTCCTGGGGTGGGGACTCCCTGGGCAGCCCGTGCCAGGACTGGACAACTCTTTTCATGGAAATTTTTCCAAATATCCAACTTCAGCATCCTCTGGTGGAACTTGAGGCTGTTTTTCCCTTATTCCCTGGGAGTGGATCCTGAATCCCCCCCCGGCTGTCCCCTCCTGTCAGGGAGTTGTGCAGAGCCAGAAGGTCCCCCCTGAGCCTCCTTTTCTCCAGGCTGAGCTCTCCAGGTCCCTCAGGAGTTCTCCAGACCCTTCCCTGGTGCTCCAGCCCCTTCCCCAGCTCCATTCCCAGCTCTGGACTCTCTCCAGCCCCTCAGGGTCTCTCTTGCTGTGTGGTACCCAAACCCCCGGATTCCAGAGGCCTCAGCAGTGCCAAGGACAGGGAATGTTGTGAGGAGTTTGACAGGAATAAGAACCAGGAGTTTGATTCTTCACCTTACACTGAAATCATCCTCCCTGCAGTCCTTCAAGTGACACCCAGGTGCCTAAAAAGTCCTAAATCCTAACGGGAGGTGCCTGCCTGCTCTTTATTTGGAAAAGGCAAAGGTTAGCACCTGCCATCCCTGTCTGGAGCACCTGGCCCTCCCTGACTCCGCTGAGGAAGCAGAATCCCAGACTGGTTTGGGTGGGAAAGGACCCTGCCATGGGTCCTTCCACTATCCCAGGGTATCCCAAGGCCTTGGACACCTCCAGAGATGGGGCAGCCATAGTCTGTGCTCAGATCTGCACTCAGGAATTGCTGCAGGAATTCCCATCTCCTGCCACTCCAGGCCTGATTCCTTAGGGATGAAGGTGCTCCCAGGAACAGGCTGCCGAGGGTTCTCCCCATTGGATTTCTTGTGACTTTTCCAGGACTTGGTCAATGGGATAAGGCACAGTTGGGACACTTCATCCCTCAAAAGTGATTCACAGGGAGAAAATTTCCAGGTCCCATCCAGCCCCAGCCCAGCTCAGGGGCATTTCTGGAGCAAATCTCTACAAACCAGGCAAATCTGGGAGGTTTCTTTTCCCCAGGGAATTTTAGGGGAGGAAAAATGAAGAACCGGTTGGATTTCCCACAGGAGTGGTGCCCTGAGCCAGGCTGTGGCATTCTGGATGGAACACACCACGGGCACAGGAACACCCCCAGTCCTCCAGGATGGGAAATGTGCTGGGGGAGTCCCCCCTAAGGCCCTGAATTCTTCCAGAGCCAGGGACTGCTCCCCAAACCCAAACACCTGGATGGGACTCACGGGGACACTCCCACCTTCTCCTCAAACGATGCTGCCAAGGACCAGCAATTCCAAAGGCAGGGAGGGATGGAGGGAGAGGGAACAGGCACATCCAGGAGAGAACTCAGCCTGCCTGACCTCTGGTTCCCTGCTTTTTGCTCCGTGGAAGGAGCCCGGGGCGAGCAGACACCGCCTCAAGTGTTCCAAGTGCAGGAAGGGCTGGGTTTGCCCTCCTGCAGTGCCCAGGGATTATCTCCCAGGAGATAAACGCTGGGATGTGCTCGTGGATGCTCCAGGGGCTGGGATGTGCCCGTGGGATGCTCCAGGGGCTGGGATGTGCCCGTGGGATGCTCCAGGGTTGGGATGTGCCCGTGGGATGCTCCAGGGGCTGGGATGTGCCCGTGGGATGCTCCAGGGGCTGGGATGTGCTCGTGGGATGCTCCAAGGGCTGGGATGTGCCCGTGGATGCTCCAGGGGCTGGGATGTGCTCGTGGATGCTCCAGGGGCTGGGATGTGCCCGTGGGATGCTCCAAGGGCTGGGATGTGCCCGTGGATGCTCCAGCCCCGGGTGAGTCACGGTCCTGGGAGCGTGGCAGGAGTGCGTTGGGCTGGCTGGGCCGGCTGGGAGCTGGGCTCTGCCAGCGCCCAGGGGCGTGGGGACACACTGGGACACACTGGGACACACTGGGACAGGGCCGAGCTGCGAGGAGGAAGCAGGGGCTGCAGACAGGCACTAAGCTTGGTCCTGACAATATTCCAGTCAGACTGACACTGTTCCAGACTGACAATATTCCAGCCAGGCTGACAGTATTTCATCTGAGCTGACAATATTCCAGCCGGGCTGATATTCCAGGTGAGGAGCACAGAGCAGACAGGTAAATCCCATCAGCTGCTGCTGCCCAGCCTTGGAAAAGCAGGGAAGGAGAGGATGAGTTCAGCACCCAGGGGGATGCAGGAGGAACCCCAGGAGTGCCCAAAGCTGGGACTGTCACACACCCCCTGACCTCATGGTCCCCTCAGTGAGGGAGCTGCAGCTCCAGGGATATTCCAGGATTATTATTATTATTATTATTATTATTATATTGGATATTCCAGGCCAGCTCCTGAGCACGGCTTCCCCCCTTCCCCAGGCACAGCTCTCCATTTCCACACTTTGTACACAGCAGGGAAGGCTCCCGAAAACCTTCTGGGCTCCCGAGAGCCTTCTGAGTGGATGCACCAGACCCCAAACAGCAGCACACAGCTGCATTCCTGATGTTCCTGTCCTCAGTCTTTTGGGAGATCCCATTTTACCTCACTCCCAAAGGTCTCAGCCTCCCCCAGATCCATTTGGTGATCAGTGAAGCAGCACTGAAAGTCTCAGTTCACAGCCTGGCAATGGGAGTCACTTCCACCAAGAAAGACCCTGAGGGGCTGGAGCAAGTCCAGAGCTGGGAATGGAGCTGGGAGAGGACTGGAGCTCCAGAGAAGGGTCTGGAGAACTCCTGAGGGACCTGGGGGGCTCATCCTGGAGAAAAGGAGGCTCAGGAGGGACCTTCTGGCTCTGCACAACTCCCTGACAGGAGGGGAAAACCGGGGGGGTTTGGGCTCTGCTCCCAGGAATGCCCTGGGGCTCTGCCAGGGAAGGTTTAGTTCGATATTTGGAAAATTCTTCACTGGAAGGGTGTCCAGGCACTGGCACAGCTGCTCAGGGCAGGGGTGGAGTCACCAAAGCCATGTGGATGTGGCACTTGGGGACATGGTTAGGGGTTCATTAACCAGCACCAGCAGGGCTGGGTTAACAGTCGGGCTCTGCAAGGGCTTCTCCAACCTTAACGATTCCTGGACTCCAGGGAATGCCATGAGCCCCTTAGGCTGAGGAGCCTGAGGGGTCACGGGAGAGCAGGGGAGCCACAACCT